GCAACATTCTTCTCCATTTCGAGGTTTTATTGCTTCATCTGCTTGGTCAGCAAAATGATTTGCCTGTGAGCCAGTTTGAAATATGTCTGCCTAGCCCTTTTCTCCTTCTTTGAGTTTTCCCATAACTCAGCTCAAGTCTTTTCAATTGCCTTTTCACGTTCTAAGCTCTCTCGTAGCTCATTTTCTCTTTGGCCCAACTCCTTAGTAAGCATTGCTACTGCTCGTTAGAGTCTTTATTGTCGTTATTCTTCTTCTCGAGCTCGGTCTTATGGAAGTTTGCTGCTCGCAGAGTAGAATTCCTTTTAGTCAAATACACATTCGCCTGAATGTGGGTAGCCTTTGCCTCTTCGTCTAAAGCTACAAGATCTTGCTTCTGCTTAACAATCTTCTCCTTCATCTCGTGGAGCTTGCCAGAAGAGCTAATCTTCATCTTGTTGTGGGCCACATTTAGGGCGAGCAAAGACTGCATGGAAATGAATAAAGAGTTAGTTTTTTTTTCTTAAAAGCTAAAGGATCGACTTATATGAAAGAGTTTTCGAAGAGAACAAGTCAACTTACCTAACTTTGCATCTGAAGTGCAGTGGCCACCAGGTCGGTAGGTCGAGAGGCCACATATTTGTCAAAGGTTATGGCAAGTTGGTATTCCAAAAGGGTGTAAACCACCGGTCGTAAATGGTCAGGTTGTGGCCCTAAAGATCCAACAGGATGGGTCGAGCCTCGTTGTGGCAGGGACCCCTGTAACCTGTTCCTCGCCTGCTTCCCTTTAAGCGGTCGTGGTCGCTCCCTCTTTCCCTTGCAAGCTCCCATGGGCAGTCGAGGTCCCGGGAGCGTCCTTCGAGGTTGTCCTCACAGAGAAAAGTTGATAGGGTTGTAGCCTATCTAGCAATATCCTAAAGCCTTCTGATTCAGACTTAGTTTCTTCTTCAGTGGGTATTGTCTTTCTTTTCTTCATCTTTAGGGTTATGGTCTTCTTCCTTAGTAGACGAGCAGTAGTGGCTGGGGAGCTTCTCCACGTCGCTCAACAGGTGGTTGCTTTTCGGCACTAATTTGTATCCCTATTGTAGGGATATTACTGGAGGTCGCTCCAACTGGTCCAGTTGGGTTGATTCTTGGGAATGCGAACCCCCTAGACTTATTTGTCGTCTTCGCAACCTTTGGTGACATAGCTATTGCATGGCATAATGGACACAACATCCAAAAGGGTTTTCTTTAGTTAAAAAGACTAATTTTTTCTGTATAAGAAATACTTATAAGCTGAACCGTCCAAATATTCCTCAGGATTGAAAAACTCGTATTTCCAAAGGTTAGCAGTAGTCACGAGCAGCTTTGCGTCGTGACTTTGGTTAGGCAATCAACCAAATGCGTTGATGCGACTACGATCAACTAGCATCAACAATTTGGTCGTTTTGTTTCCTGCAAGAAAGCAAAAGCTTCGTTAGCTTAATATATTAAGGAAGTTAAAGTTAAAAGATGAGCGATTTGGAAATTAAAAGGAAAACCAACTCGATCATTAAATTTACATACTCCATCGAACTCGAAGAAAAATACTTGGTTTCATAAGCTCCCACGTTGCTGGGGTAACCAAATATCCCTCCCTCGATTGTTGATTGCTTGGAGAGGTAGTACAAATCCTTTTCTTCACTCTTCTTTAAGTAATAGGCGCAGCCAAGTTCCTTTGTTGTTGGCTTGCGGAGGTTGTGTTTGTCAAATGCAATATACATAACGACCGCTATCATTTATGCATTTAGCATCAACTGAAATGGCATGACCTAGAAGTGGTCGAGAATCGACCTAATGTAGGGGTGAAAGGGTATCCTCACTCCACATTTGAATATCGCTTCAGAGATCGCAACGATTCCCTTGGGAGGATCCTGACAGTGTACGACTTGTGTTGGTACATGTTTACGTTGATCGCATACTGGTTTATTGCTTTCTGAATTTCATCCTTTGTAACTGTTGATTGTATCACCTTTTCGAGACCCGCCAAGGTGCCCGATGGTTGCGAGCTTTCGAGACTCGCCGAGGTGCCCGGTGGTTGCGAGCTTCCCTCTCTAGCTATTTTCGCCCCAGGGGTGTCCATTGCCATTAGAGTCTGTAAAGGTGCGACATGTAGGGGTGACTCAAACTCTGCATAAGTTACCTCGTATGACGACTCAGAAGAGTAAAAGAACCCTAGTTTCTCTTCCATAGCTGCCATAAACCCTAAAAGTTCTTAAGAATGGTTTCCTAAAATCTATGCCCTAAGTTTCGACTCTTAAAGGTATTTCTTTTCAAACACTACCCAAGAATGTTCATCATCTAAGCCTATCAAATGTACATACCCGCCATTACTGTAAAAACTAAGCTTTTTGACAGAAATGAAAAAGAGAAGAAATTTCTTTACCTTTTGATTGTTGGGCACGGATGATTTGTCGTAGCGTTGAGTGCGTATTAACTGGGAAAAGGATGAACTAATTTTTTTTTAGTGCAAAAAAGTTGTTTTCTTTCTAAAAATTTGAGTTCTGTGAAAAACTTAGAATGAGTTTTGGGTTTTATAAGGTGGAAGATAACACTTCGTTTCTTTTATAAGCGACGTTTGGGCGGGAACACGCTTCCAACTATTGATTGTTACCACATGTCACCAATCTACGCGAAGAGTGACCTTCACGCTTTGTGAAGATCAACCGGCGTTTCTCTTTATTGAAATTGTCAATCATGAGCGTGATTATCTCTTCCACATTAAATGCGCCCTCATCCGCTTTTAATGCTTCAAAAGGGAATGTCGTTTTAGCATGGTTTGCATTTAATGCTCATGGCTGACACTTATTGCGCAAAGACACGTTTATCAGATAAAGCTTATTTTATTGACCAAGACAGTTGTCAAGCGCAACGGATAACATCTGAGGTGGTCGTTCGAATAAGGCATTTTTTCCATACGTCAGACTCGAACATCAAATGAGATGATTCTTAGTTTTTGATAGCAAAGTGTTCTAAGTGTTTTCAGGTCGTGAATGACAGATAAAGTTTGAAACACATTTTCATAGTACTGATCAAGATCTGGCTCAGGTCGTTAGACCTTTGCGAATGATTACGTCAGGTCACTTGTGTAGTTCTCGAAGCCCATGTCACGATCTACACTCAATTCGCTGGTTGGATCAAGCCATCAGCCTCATGTCGTTTGTAACAATGTGGTTGTTCTCAACTGTTAGTTTGAGCAGACATTCCTCGAGACAAGTCAAATCGTGGTATAATCATGAAGTTCTCAAGATTCAATCCTTGAACCTTAAGAACTGGGGAGCTTCTATTATGCCTAAAAAATCAGGGTTGACGTAAGCTTACAGCAGCAAGCACCAATTAGAGTTCAGGAATACTTTGTGCCGTCCAGAAGCTGCCACGTTGCCCCAAGACAGAAAGAATACGGTTGTCATCAACTTAGCAAATTCAGATTTTGTCTATGAGTGACAATGACCGCACACCTGTCTAAGCCCCAGATAATTTGAGGATATTTCCTAAGTTATCAGCCAATGAGAGGCAAAGAATGACTTGCACGGCACCTACCCATTTGCAGATTTGTAATCATTATCTTGAATTCCTCTACTATAAATAGAGGACTCTCCCTCTCATTTTGGGGATTCTGATCTTAAACCCTTATTCTGATTGTAATCTTTATTTTCAGAGTAAAGATAACCTACGAGAAAGAGATTAACTTGATATTTTCTCTGAATACTCGGTTATTATACCTTTGCTCGCTGTTTGCTATACGCGACCTCTTGTAATCTCTTATATATAAAAGAAACAATAGACATATTAATCGTTTTATGTATCTAAACCACTTTAAAAATCATTTCTCATTTATTATTTAGTCTTTGCATTCAATTATATTGATTCCCTTTATCATATCACATCTAATTTCTAAGAATCACTTAGCATTTTGCACGTGTGGGTTGTTAGTGTCAAAATCAAGCATCAACATTATAGATTAAAATATATATAAAAGTAAATTGTAAATTTATGAACTGCACAATTTAATTTTCTCTTCTCTATAGTAACTTCAGCAGTGGACTCGTAACATCAAAAAAAACTCTCTGTCTCTCTCTCTCTTAATAATATATATTTATTGAAACGCTCAATTGTAAATTATCTCATATTATTAATCCTAATTGAATATTCTTTATACTTTTAATTAGTCCCAAATTTTTGTACCCTATCATTTTAATTCATTTACTATTTACTAAGTCAGAATTATAGTAAATTCCTAAATCCAATTTCTTTCTCTTTGTTCATTTTTTAACTGAGTTAATTGCAATTTCTTCTACAATGTATTATTCCATCACGGGAAAAATATAACTTTGTGGGCATTTTTTTAGAAAGTCATTAACAAAGGATAAGTTTTGAAACACATGACAAAAAAAAAATGTTAGTGAGTTAATAAAATTGTTATTTAAAAATACTGTTGTGTTCTTGATGATAAAAAAAAAAAAAAAAAGAGATTTTATGAGTTTTTAAATTTGAGTTTTTTAAGTATTAATAAAGATTATTTCTTATCTTTTATTTAATTGAATGTTTCAAGATTTCGAAAAATTAGTTATGATGCGGAAAAACTATCCGGACACAGGACACCCAGTGATACAAAAATTTGTTTTCTAATGATACTTAAAAATTATCATCTAACTCGTATCTTATTTGGATGACGTGTCAAAGTGTAACTGGTTGGGGAGTATANTATTTCTTATCTTTTATTTAATTGAATGTTTCAAGATTTCGAAAAATTAGTTATGATGCGGAAAAACTATCCGGACACAGGACACCCAGTGATACAAAAATTTGTTTTCTAATGATACTTAAAAATTATCATCTAACTCGTATCTTATTTGGATGACGTGTCAAAGTGTAACTGGTTCGGGAAGTATAAAAACAGTGTAATCGACCGCGTCAAAACTCAAAGTCGAAAGTAAACGCGTAAAAAAGAATATTTTTTGGGATAATTCGGTTGGTCTCTTAACTCTTAAGGAAGCAAAAACACATTCATATTGCAATCGCAATAATCGAAGCTTTTGATTTGATTTGATTTCCACAAGAAGAAGAAGATGAAGAGAGTTTTTGGCGTCAAGAAAGACAAAGAACCTCCTCCCTCCGTTAACGACGCCTCCGATAGGGTTCGAATTTTTCATTTTTTTTAATTTTACTTCTCAATTATTTCTTCCTTTCCCATCCAAATAGCCGTCTAATTCATACTATTAGGATCTTGAAATCGAAGTTTTTTGGACCGATTTCGGTCTTATATTGTTGATTATATTAGAGAAAATGTGGATTCTGCTGAACTGAACACGAAATCTTAATTAAAATTTTTAATTTTAACTCAGCAAAAATATCATTAACTCATCAATGGTAGTAAATTTTAGGTTTGATAGATGATATTGAAATATGATTTGGTGTTAATTAGGGAGATATGAGTCTTCCATTTGTGAAATTTTCATTGAATAAGCTGTTATTGTGTTTTAATTGATTTTAAAATTTTCTGTCAATTGTTTTTATTTTTTTCAGATTAATAAAAGAGGAGAAAATGTGGATCAAAAGATCAGGACTTTAGATGCGGAATTGAGTAGATACAAGGAACAGATTAAGAAAACACGCCCTGGTCCTACTCAAGAGGCGGTTAAAGCTCGAGCTATGCGGGTTCTTAAGCAAAAACGAATGTAAGTGCTTTTCTTTTTATGCACTTCCGGAAATAGTTTAGCGGCATGCTAATTATGTAGCTATATTGGGTTTGCAACTTACAATTGTACAATTTCTGACCCTGTTATGTTAGTGTATATGTATAATTTCATTGATTTTTGTGAAATTTCCCGAAGTGCATAATTTATTTTGCTGACCGTATCTATCCTAGTGTGTCATGTAATTAAGTACTAGAATTGAGTGTAAGTTCTGAACCAGTTAGGTCCTAGTTTTCTTGAATGTATTATGCTGGAGGAAATACTGTTTTAGAGATGTATTTTTGTTTTTAGATTATCTTATGTGTGAGGTATATATTGATCTTATGTAACTAATTTACCAGGACCAGGAAAGGAAAGAAATATGTTTAATATTTTAAACCTTGTGCTTTAAGAGCCACTACCATATAAGTTTCTGATTACAAGAAACAGAAAAATGTACTTTTTCTTTTGATTTGTGAGGTTACCCTAGTCCTTTGGTTTTTAGAAGAGACAAACTCTGTAATATACTTGATGAGATCATGAATAATTCATGACTTGGTTATATATGTTAGGGTAAATGGAAATCAATAAAGCTTGAACATCACTTATATGATTGAAATTTTTATCTGAAAATTTCTAAGGTGGTGTTCAAATTTGTATGGTTTTTGTCATTTTGAGTACCACAATTTTGCAGGAAAGAGAAAAAGAAATTAAGGGACTGATGTTTGTTAAATTTAAAGTTAGATTTATCTTCCAAGTTGGTGATATAATTGGACACATAAAGTTTTTACATTGTTGCAAGGAATATATTTAGTGAAGAGTGTCTCTAAGAAGATACTGCATAATAGTTCTGTTTGCTACATCGAATATGAATGCTGTTTTTGCTTCAATGACTTACATCCATCATGCATGCTGTTTTTGCTTCAGTGATATTCATTCAATGTGCTTCTATACAGGTATGAACAGCAACGTGACATGCTCTACAACCAGACCTTCAACCTTGATCAAGTTGCATTTGCTTCTGAGGGTATTAAAGATGCTCAGCAAACTGTATGTCCTGAAGAATTTCTAATTCTGTTTCTTTCTATCTTTTTCCATTTTATAATGACGCCACTGAAGAATCCTTATAGCTCATCAATGTTTTGAACTGCCCGACCCAAAAATTCTCTACATTTATGCATTTAGATGTGAATTGTTTTCTTTCTTTCTTTTCTCTCTTTTTTTTTTCTTTTTTTTTTTTTTAAATAAGATTTAGATGTGAATTATTTTCTTTTCTTGACAAAAGGTTTAGATTAGAATTGTTAAATATTGTCTGATCAATTGCCCAAATTAATGCTAGTGGAAAGTTTTGGCCACTGAAATTGGAGATGTATAACATCCTTCCAATTCTTTCTAAATGGAGTTATACAATATAATGTTATAGTGTCATCTGTTGTTCATTGCTTTACAGCAGAGAGGCCAATTTCTGTCCTGGTCTAAGCATCACTCAGCCCATTGAATGATGTTAACTCTACTGGTTGCATTCATTATTGCATTTTAGAGACACCACAGCTGTTGAGCCTCTCTAATTAAGTGATTAGTTCCATTTCCTCCAACTGTCAAAACTTCAAGTATGGTTGTATTAGGGCCATGTATATTTACCCTGAAATATTTGTTTGTCTTGGTAGCGCCCAAAGGGGCAGAGTTCAGGGAAGTACAGGCAGAGCTTTATGTGTACCCTGATTGGAACCTGCTGCCTATCTCATGGAGGTAGGGGTGAACCATTTGTCATGGGAGGAACGCCTTTATGAAATATTTGATTAATCTATGTCCTAGATTCTCTTATACTCTTTCCAGTATGTCTAGGAGATTGGCACCCTTGATGCAGTTTAGGGAACCATATGGCATATATTAGTTATGACTTTCTTTGTTATGATTTTATCTATTTTGTCCCTTCAGATGTCAGCTTTGAAAAGTGCCAACAAGGAATTGAAAGGAATGATGAAAACCGTGAAGATTCAAGACATAGATGTGCGTAATTTCTTTTCTTTTATTACCTCTTTTTCAAAATGACTTCACAGAATTTCTGGTGCTGAATTGTTAATTTCTGTCATTTCCACAGAACTTGCAAGATGAGATGATGGACTTGATGGATGTGAGTAGCGAAATTCAAGAGACCCTTGGTAGAAGCTATAATGTGCCAGATGATATTGATGAGGAAGAACTCATGGGTGGTAAATTTAGATATTCTAGATGCTTACTTGTTGATGCAGATATTATTATGCACTGGATTCAGAATGATGATTCTTCAAATTTTTGTTTTCATTCATTTCTTTTTGGAAGAATCAAATAGTTAAGAAGCTTCATCTATAATATGCCTATAAACAGGTATGTAATTTGTAAACAAGGGCTCTCACTATATATGTGAGATGCTGTTATTTTAGGAAGTGGAACTGATCAAACAGGTTTCTGTATGTCATGTTGCACAAATCATCATAGTGTAAAAGTTGAGCAAAGTGTTTTTTCACATTTGAATACCTTGTACACCATCCTTACTGACTTTTTGATACAGAACTTGATGCTTTAGAAGCAGACATGGGAATGGAAGATGAAGCTGGAGTGCCCTCTTATCTCCAACCCGAGAAGGAACATGATTTGGATGCTGAGCTGAACTTGCCTTCAGCACCTTCTGGACATGCTGCACCTGGCAGATCCAATGCACATGTAATGTGTTCTTCATGATATTATCTTTTTGCTAATTAACGTGTGAAAAATGAAATATATTTTGGTTTTTCTTATCATATGTGCTATTTGGGCATCATATTTTTCTTCTTTTTTTTGCGGGTCACTACCTGAATAGTAGATTATGGACTACTGTAGAATCTTTTATTTTGAACTGCCGTAGGAGTAAATATGTTTGTATGTTCTGCACACTTTTCACCTAACATACCTTTTCTTCTGTGCTCTAATGCTTGACAGGCTGAAGATGAACTGGGTTTACCTGCTGTCCCTCGGGCTTCCATCCGTGATTAGGGTTTTACTTCTATCTTTCTGCACATATTCACGTTGGGCAACTTGTTGGAGTGGTCATTGTAAACAGATTATGCAATTGCGACTAGATGGTTGACATTCTTCCATTAATAGTTGGATTTTATAAGCACCACTGCATACTTTGTAAAGAAAAACGTGTTCAAAAAAGCAAAAAAAAAATCGAATCGATTAAACTGTATGTTAATGGGAGGCCAGGCTTGCTGCACAATCTTTATTTTTAGTCACACGGTGTTCCTCTGTGCTGTCCGTGTATGGACAAAGCCTTTCTCTTCTTTCTTTTGTTTTTTCAGTTTCTCTTCATGGTGGGGGGGAACGGGTCGAGGATGGAAGTGTCAATCATGTTTTATTTATGACCGAATTTGTGTGTGAGAATTAAATTATTTATTGAATTATTATTTTCATTTTTGAAGTTCATTATCAAGCACATCCTTGCAGTAACAAAATAACTTATGAATTCACCAGTAATCTCTACAGGAGCAAGTTCCATCTTTAAAATGGTGGAACCGTTTTCGATCTCTTACAACAATTTCTCTCTCATAGATCATTGAAATGTACTTCGTGTATGCATGACAGTCGCTACACATCCTAAGGTTCCTCGCAATTCTTATGGGAGAACCTTGAGATGTATTTATGAGTGTGAATGCAATTGCTAACTTCTGGCTGTGAGCTTTCAATCTTTCTCTCTTCTCTTCTTCATCTACATCAACCAACACCTGAGATGTGTCCGGGGAATACCCTTCGAATCTCAACTGCCATTCCATCTGGTGAATCATTTCGTAAATGCTATTATTGCATTCGCGATGTGATTTATCCTGTGACACGAATTTGTAAACTTTCCTTGACACCTCAACCAAGCTGAATCCTGGCGTTTGTTTCAAGGCTTTACTAGTCATTTCCATTCGGGTTTTAGCTACATCGTCCCATTTTTGAGCTTGTGCATACATGTTTGATAGTATAATGTAATCACCGGGATTCTGAGAGTTTAACTGGAACAAGTTTCTAGCGGCAATTTCCCCGATTTCCAGGTTTTGATGTACCTTACAAGCACTAAGAAGGCTTCGCCACACAACATCATTTGGCTCGACAGGCATGCTCTTGATGAGCTCCAAGGCTTTCCGGAGCATCCCAGCTCGACCCAGGAGATCCACCAGGCAACCGTAATGCTGCACTGTTGGCGCTATTTGATGCTCGGATCTCATCCTCTCGAAGCATTGCATGCCTTCATCGACAAGGCCAGCGTGACTACAAGCACTCAAGACACTCACATAGATAACATCATCTGGCTCCACGCCGTCCTCAAGCATTTCCGAGAAAACTCTGAGAGCTTCCTTGCCCTGTCCGTGCATCGCAAGCCCAGAAATCATCACACTATAGGACAGCTGATTCTTCTCAGTCGTCATTTGAAACAAACATAATCCCTTCTCTAAACAGCCACATTTTAGGTACATATCCATCAAGGACGTTTGCACAATAACATTGAGTTCACTTATGTTTCTGATCAATGACCCATGTGTGCATCTTCCCAAATCAAGAGCACCCAAATGAGCACAAGCAGAGATCACACTCACCAATGTGCTTTCTTCAGGCCTCCAGCATCCTTCACTCATCATATCCCCAAAAAGCATTAAACATTCATACCACAAACCAATGCTAGCATTTGCAGCAATTATAGCACTCCAAGATGCAACACTTCTTTCATCCATTTGCTCAAAAATGGTATAGGATAACTCAATCTCCTTACACTTTCCATACATGTTGATCAAAGCATTCTGTACAAACAGATCGCCTTCGAATCCAAGCTTAATCGCATGACCATGAATCTGCATTCCTTCCTCCAATGTTTGCATCCCTGAACATGCCTTTAGAAGCGCTGGATAAGTGAAATTATCAGGCTTCACTTCACTTTCCAGCATCTCAATGTAAAGGAACAAAGCTTCTTTAAAATTGACATCCTTGACCAATCCCCTGATCAAAGTGTTGAATACAAAAGCACTCGGTTCATCGATTTGTTTAAAAATTGAACAGGCATAGTCCATGCTACCCCAGTTTGAGAGAGCGCAAGTAGCCACAAGATTGCCTGCACAAAAGGGGTTGAAAAACAAACCCCACTTGAGGACTTGAACATGAACTTGCTTGAAATCTTCCAAGCTCTTGCATCTTTTTAAGAGGGATAAGCACTCTTGCTCCTTCAATCTTAAATCAACTTCAGGGGTTTTGGTTTTGGGTTGATCTTCTGGTGGTGTGAAGAGCAAGCAGTGGTGGTGAAGGACTGATGTCCCACTCATCCTCTCATCCACACCATCATATAATTATGTGTACATATTAATCAAGACTCGGTTTTTATTGAAAATACAGGAGTAAAGAGGCATGAAATGTACCAAAAGAGGAAGCTTGATGAGTTAAAGGAGATGGCAATTCATGGTAAAATTAAAAGTGAATTTGGAGGAGTTTTTGAGTGTTGAAATGAGAATTGAAGAATGTGATCCATGAGATTGTGAGAAAAGAGTTGTGGCCAGAGAAAGCGAGTGAGATTATGGGGACAAGGAGATTGCGGATAGGATAATGTCTGGGCCCATCAGATTCCTGTTTGAGTTTCAGGACCTCTCATGGTTTGCCATGTCAGTTGTTGGACCCATTTCTGTGCAACAAGACCTGGCTTCCGTTGGTGTTTTTGCTTCGTTAATTAGTGGCTGAGGTGAAATGTTTATATTAACTTTGATGGAAAATATACAAAACCCCTTTCTTAGAATACCGACAGTGGTTTTCTCCGGGAGGACAATTGGTGGGAAACAGCTCACTCTCCGCTCCTTGCTATGATCTATGGGACGAAGCACAAATTTTAAAGGAAAAATCTACAATACATCCCAAGTGTAATAAATCTAAATCGAAAGCGTATTAGAGAGGTGTTAGACATAAAAAAGGGAGAGCTCGAGGTATTGGGGCGTATAAAGGGGAGAGTCCCTTTATGTAACAGTAACAAGCATTTGAATGTAGAATTTTTTACTCGTAACAAGTGGCATCATATCAAATCTGATCTGTTTTTTGATGTCCCACCAAGCACCCACATAAAGGCAATCACATGTGATTGTCAATCCATACAAGAGTGAGGTGGACGAGTAACCAATGAGCCCCACCTGTGACGAGAGGATCATAGGATTGAGTGGGAGAGAATGTAACGAATCTGACATCGAAAGTGTATTGAGGAGGTATTGGGTTTACAAAGGAGAAAATCCCTCCATCTAACAGATTAGCTTTTTCAGTGTGAAATTCCGGACTACACAACAAAAGTATTTAGAGTAACATTATTCCCTTAATCACATAAAACCTTTAAATGGTATAGTCTCATCATCTGACAATATCGAATTAATGTTACTCCGTTGATCACATATGTTCATCCAATGATATAGTTTCATCATTCTAATGGTATCAGCGTAAATTACTTTACGTCTGTCTTAGTACCAAACCAATAATGAGATAATTGTGATCAAGTAAACAAACATTTGTCTAATACAAATCATATTAATACATTTTATCTAAACGTACTAATCGATTGAACGAGTTTACATCACAGTAAAGATTTTTTCTATGAATTTAAAAAATGATGATTTATTAACAATCACATAGATAAAATGGTATGGTGATAATGTATACAACTTTCTCAAGCTTGGTAGATGTATTTTAATTATGTTCTTTATCATTAAGATGGTTGTAATTGATTCATTTGCTTTAAGAGGTAAGAACTTCTGGGGTTTAACAAAGCGTTTCTTTTACAGAAACTTCAGTTAACTATAATCAAAACCAAACCTCAAACAAGTTCAATGAAATTATCCTAAAGTTCCATATTTACATACAGACCAATTCAGCTCCATCCATGTCCTTGCAAACAAATTGTTGATGAGAAGAATTATGCCCACATCCAATTGGAAGAAAAAAACAGTATACACTGTTTAAGATTTTAATCCAACACCGGTTTTATCGGTTCCCTCTTGAAGAAGAAGAAGAAACTGTAAAACGTGAGACATGATAGTTCTACCAGTTAAACAAATTGTAGACTGAATATCTATCTCATCAGACGTTATACTGTAGCTGCTCAAATGCTTCAAGATAGAAACTTTCTGCATTTTCAACCAACTCTACAATTCCAAAGAAAATGAGTGACAAGACTCATTCAATCTAAAATGAAAAAAAAAAAAAAAAAAAAAAAGTTTAAGAAATCTGAGTCCTGACTATGACAATCTATGTGTTAAGAGGAAGAACACTTTTTTAGAGGGTCTTCACCACGAACTTCCTTGATATAATGCTCACTTTTTAGTGAAGTTTCTTTGAATGCTCAGAGACATCTGCCATTCTATAGACAAGTTCATTCTCTTCAATGATGCCACTTTGCGGAGAACGAAAAAAAAAAAAGAAGGAGAAGTTAAAATTAGTTGCCAGAATGTAAAATGCAGAAGGACATTTAAAATTCAGCAACTGGGAGTGAAGTTTAGAGATGGTGCTGCATTAGCTAGATTCATGTTCGGAAATAATGCGTAAGAGAGTAAGAGTTATATCTTGTTAAAGTGCATCAAAAAGCGTGGTTTATTGCCTTCGGGTATATCAATTAAGATTAAGATTAGCCATATCTAACATCTGCCAAGTAACCTCTGACCTAGACGCTTCGGCTGCGGATCGAGAAGACCCAAAATAAGCTTTGGCCTTGCTAGTAGGGGATGATTTGGCCAAAACAATTTTCAACCTCTCAGCTTCTTTCTTCAGGGACTTATATTGACCTGTAACAAAAAGAAAATCACATTATTGTAAAGATCTGCCCAAGGGAAAAAAAAAATTCTTTCTCAACAAGATGGTCTACTACGAGAACCAAAAAAACCTTATGATTTGTCAATCAAGAAATCTTGTACTTGCACAGGGCACTAAGTTTGGGCAAAACTTACATCCTTTGAGTGGTTAAAAGGAAATGCTATTTCATGAGATATGAGAATAATATAAATTCGGACATAGAAGGAGTTTTTGAGTGTTGAAATGAGAATTGAAGAATGTGATCCATGAGATTGTGAGAAAAGAGTTGTGGCCAGAGAAAGCGAGTGAGATTATGGGGACAAGGAGATTGCGGATAGGATAATGTATGGGCCCATCAGATTCCTGTTTGAGTTTCAGGACCTCTCATAATTTGCCATGTCAGTTGTTGGACCCATTTCTGTGCAACAAGACCTGGCTTCCGTTGGTGTTTTTGCTTCGTTAATTAGTGGCTGAGGTGAAATGTTTATATTAACTTTGATGGAAAATATACAAAACCCCTTTCTTAGAATACCGACAGTGGTTTTCTCCGGGAGGACAATTGGTGGGAAACAGCTCACTCTCCGCTCCTTGCTATGATCTATGGGACGAAGCACAAATTTTAAAGGAAAAATCTACAATACATCCCAAGTGTAATAAATCTAAATCGAAAGCGTATTAGAGAGGTGTTAGACATAAAAAAGGGAGAGCTCGAGGTATTGGGGCGTATAAAGGGGAGAGTCCCTTTATGTAACAGTAACAAGCATTTGAATGTAGAATTTTTTACTCGTAACAAGTGGCATCATATCAAATCTGATCTGTTTTTTGATGTCCCACCAAGCACCCACATAAAGGCAATCACATGTGATTGTCAATCCATACAAGAGTGAGGTGGACGAGTAACCAATGAGCCCCACCTGTGACGAGAGGATCATAGGATTGAGTGGGAGAGAATGTAACGAATCTGACATCGAAAGTGTATTGAGGAGGTATTGGGTTTACAAAGGAGAAAATCCCTCCATCTAACAGATTAGCTTTTTCAGTGTGAAATTCCGGACTACACAACAAAAGTATTTAGAGTAACATTATTCCCTTAATCACATAAAACCTTTAAATGGTATAGTCTCATCATCTGACAATATCGAATTAATGTTACTCCGTTGATCACATATGTTCATCCAATGATATAGTTTCATCATTCTAATGGTATCAGCGTAAATTACTTTACGTCTGTCTTAGTACCAAACCAATAATGAGATAATTGTGATCAAGTAAACAAACATTTGTCTAATACAAATCATATTAATACATTTTATCTAAACGTACTAATCGATTGAACGAGTTTACATCACAGTAAAGATTTTTTCTATGAATTTAAAAAATGATGATTTATTAACAATCACATAGATAAAATGGTATGGTGATAATGTATACAACTTTCTCAAGCTTGGTAGATGTATTTTAATTATGTTCTTTATCATTAAGATGGTTGTAATTGATTCATTTGCTTTAAGAGGTAAGAACTTCTGGGGTTTAACAAAGCGTTTCTTTTACAGAAACTTCAGTTAACTATAATCAAAACCAAACCTCAAACAAGTTCAATGAAATTATCCTAAAGTTCCATATTTACATACAGACCAATTCAGCTCCATCCATGTCCTTGCAAACAAATTGTTGATGAGAAGAATTATGCCCACATCCAATTGGAAGAAAAAAACAGTATACACTGTTTAAGATTTTAATCCAACACCGGTTTTATCGGTTCCCTCTTGAAGAAGAAGAAGAAACTGTAAAACGTGAGACATGATAGTTCTACCAGTTAAACAAATTGCAGACTGAATATCTATCTCATCAGACGTTATACTGTAGCTGCTCAAATGCTTCAAGATAGAAACTTTCTGCATTTTCAACCAACTCTACAATTCCAAAGAAAATGAGTGACAAGACTCATTCAATCTAAAATGAAAAAAAAAAAAAAAAAAAAAAAGTTTAAGAAATCTGAGTCCTGACTATGACAATCTATGTGTTAAGAGGAAGAACACTTTTTTAGAGGGTCTTCACCACGAACTTCCTTGATATAATGCTCACTTTTTAGTAAAGTTTCTTTGAATGCTCAGATGCACCTGCCTATCTATAGACAAGTTCATTCTCTTCAATGATGCCACTTTACGGAGAACAAAAAAAAAAAGAAGGAGAAGTTAAAATTAGTTGCCAGAATGTAAAATGCAGCAGGACATTTAAAATTCAGCAACTGGGAGTGAAGTTTAGAGATGGTGCTGCATTAGCTAGATTCATGTTCGGAAATAATGCGTAAGAGAGTAAGAGTTATATCTTGTTAAAGTGCATCAAAAAGCGTGGTTTATTGCCTTCAGGTATATCAATTAAGATTAAGATTAGCCATATCTAACATCTGCCAAGTAACCTCTGACCTAGACGCTTCGGCTGCAGATCGAGAAGACCCAAAATAAGCTTTGGCCTTGCTAGTAGGGGATGATTTGGCCAAAACAATTTTCAACCTCTCAGCTTCTTTCTTCAGGGACTTATATTGACCTGTAACAAAAAGAAAATCACATTATTGTAAAGATCTGCCCAAGGGAAAAAAAAAATTCTTTCTCAACAAGATGGTCTACTACGAGAACCAAAAAAACCTTATGATTTGTCAATCAAGAAATCTTGTACTTGCACAGGGCACTAAGTTTGGGCAAAACTTACATCCTTTGAGTGGTTAAAAGGAAATGCTATTTCATGAGATATGAGAATAATATAAATTCGGACATTTAATAGGATTGCTAATTTCTTACAACCTATGATGAAATTAGGGCTATAAATGAGCCGAGTATCACCCTAAACGAGTCTGACTCGGTTAAGCATTAAACGAGTTCGAGCCGAGTCATGAGTCAGTCAAGTCAGGAAAATTCGACTCATGACTCAACTTGTTTATAATCGAGTCGGCTTGTGACTCAACTTGTTTATAATCGAGTCGGCTTGTGACTCGACTCGGACTCGTTTGGCTCAAGTCGAAAAACTCGATTATAACTCTATTAACTCGAGCTTGCATTGGTTCGATTACAGCCCGTTTGGCCCATTTTTATATAACCCGCAGATCTTGTTTTATACAAATCAAATCCAATTTTTGGTAAATTTGCATCCAAATCAATATAAATCACATCCAAATCAACATAAATCACATCCAAATCAACACATCAACAATGTATTACACAACAAATTATGAAATCCTGAAACTTTAATTGGGGTTTGGGTTAATTTGCAACATTTTAAAACTTTTACATGTCAAATTACAAGACGGACCTAAAAATTTGTTTTTTTGCAGAAAAACCCTAAACAAGCCACTATTGACTCGCGAGCCAAATCGAATCGAGTCTAGCCAGGGTAGACTCAAACTCGATTCGGTATCTAATTCGAGTCTTATTCAAGCCGAGTTCGAGTATTTAACGAGCCGAGCCGCTCACGGTTGACACCCTTAGATGAAATGTTTTAGATGACATATTCGTGAACTAGATTTCGAAGTATAGAAATTAATCCTGATGTAATTTTTTTGTAAATAAAACAACTAGTTCCATAGAGGTGTTTTAGATGCAGTGGGTGACATTAGCTTCTACTTTTTTCTAGTTTAAGCATATTACTCATGAAAGTTCTATCTTCAATTAAAATTTTATTAAAACAATAAATGGGTATGATAGGACAATACTGCATGTGCAAAACAAGTGTCATAAAACATCAGGTCCATAGCAGGACCATCACCACTGATTGCGGAATCCACAAGGATCAACTAGATAATGACAAACTCACCTTCCATGATCAACTTTTCCTGCTGCACTCTGGCCACCTGCTGCTTTAATGTTCTGTTTTCCAGGGACAAAGAAACATGTTGCTGAAGTAGTGAAGCAACTCTGACTGACAATTCTGACTGTAGAGTCTGAAAAAGAGATATCAAGTATCAGTCAAGAAAGTTCTCACGAAGAAACAGATCAGTAACATATTTTATTTATTTATTTATTTTTCTTCCGGACGCGGATTCATGAGTTTAAACTAAGCACAATCAGCAGTAAGGACTGAAACAGTGTGTCCATTGCTCAACTGGTTTAGAAATTGTGCTCAACAGTGACATGAAAAACATGAATATGAAAAAGTGAGCTAGATAAGAGTTATGAGAATGGGTCCAACCATTTAGAATTGTTCGCTTCATAAAATCTTAAGGGCAGGGCTACAAAATAAAGAGGCTATATAATAAGTATTCCGTTTGTGAAATATAATATTTCCATTTTGAAAGAATTTAATTAGTCAATTACTTTTTCTACACTTATGTCACTGAGCGAAATGAATACTCACACACATGTTGAGTAGAGTTGCATGACTTACTCTTTGCATATTATAAACAAGATAATGATTCATTACATTAATAATGAGCAGGCTATTTTTTCACTACCCCCATAAAGACACATCATGATATATATATTTGATGGAGTCTATTAGGATCCCACATTGGAAGGGAAAAGGGTGGGCATATAGGTTATAAAAGGCTTGGGCACCCTCTTTTGGTAAGCCTGTTTTCCAAGGAGAGTTCTACTCAAACTCATGAAAGACCCATAGCCTAGTATAATTGTTTGAGTTGTTGGGATGAGTTCCTATCAATTGGTATAAGAGCATGATCTTGCGCCCATAGGACATCGCCTACATGGCAGGCCTCATTGCCCAACCCAATTGTTGAGTTGTTGAAGTAGGTTCCTATCAGAGTCACACAAACAATCTCATTATATCTGTCTGAGAAATTACCTGAAAAATACTAACAGTTCTTTCCAGTTCAGCAATATACTGAAGTTTGCGAACCCTAGAGCGTTGCCCGGAGTGCCTGTGAAACAATCATCAAAACATGTTATCCAATTGCCAACATATCTGACTCAAAGTTTACACATGAAAAAATATTTACAGCAAGTATACATTATCACTTCAAGAATGCAGGGTATGCTTATTTGTCACATGCCAAAATTCTAGGATTTCGTGAATTTGAAGTACATTATCAGTACAAGATGATAAAAGTATGACATGCCATGTAAAAGTTCTCAATATGGCCAATGCTAGAAGTACTGTGATTACAGTCAAATCTAAGTAGAAGCAACTTTTGTCCCTTGATCAATATGTTGAATTCTTGAGATTATATGGGGAATTCCATTGCTGCACTTTTGCAAACTATAAATTCACATGCAACTCATGGTGTGATGTGGATGTTGGGGAGCTATTTTTTACAAGGAATTTTCAGTTCAATACTCTAGCTAGTATCCATTATATAATAAGGCATCTTGTGGCCTTTGAATTACTCAATGCCTGAAAATAAATCTTTGGTAACCTGTACAAGACAAGCTTCAATAACAGAACAGCCAAAGACTCCTCTGAAAAGCAAAAGCTAATGCTAAAAATCAGTCCATTTTGAGTATACAGCAGGACTACAAAATAGTTTAGTGCTTCACACAGATGTGGGTTCTTATTACTGACCCAAAATAGTCTTCTCTATTTGCTGACCTAACGGAGAGTAAAAGTCCAAGAACCAAAGATGCAAGAATGACCAAGCTAAAGAATTTGCAAAACAAAAACTAGAGGAACTAGAAGCACTATGCGACTGAAATTATAAAAATAAATCCATACTTATGAAAAATATTTATGTTCTAAACAAATCATATGCACACAAGGACAAAATACTACGAAAATTTAATCTAGTAAAGCAGGCAGTTGTCACCAGCTGGAAATACACAACAGAACAGGTATGCTGAAGAAACATGGCTGAAATATTGTTAACATGGAGATATCAGCAGCAGTTCTTATAACATATATAAATTTGAAAATTAAAAACAGAAGTTCAGATGTGAACCTTTTTGCCATCTTTGCTTCAGCATTGAGCTCACCAGTCGAAGTACAAGCATCCCCTTTCAAATCAGAGTGATTAATCCCAGATATGCAAAGGCTCTCATCCACATATTGCAAAGGGTTCTCAACAACACATTCTGATAATGCTGAAACTATAGCATTCTCCGAGAAGGTTATATTACCTCTTTTCCTAGGGGAATTAGGACCATAAACACAAGCCGACTCCAACCCACTACAAGTTTTATTCCCAACTGAATTATCATCATCCTTACAGGGATTCAAACCTGAAAAAGAGTCTGCAAGACCATCCAAGAGAGTGAGTGAATCACTAGAAGACCGACGATGGATAATTCCCACAGAATTTGTGCTAGAGTCACTTAACAAATCATCCAGCCATGTTGGCTGATCCTCTAGGATCGAATTTTGGAAGGATGATTTATTGTGGCCAGGGTATGATTCTGTACGCTGTAGAGGAGAGATTGGGTCATGAAATGGACGAGGGCAACGAGGTGGAAGGTGAGCTTGCCTTGACATGATGATCTAAACTTAAACGGTGTGTTAGAGCTTCCTAGCAAATATACATCCGAAAGCTTTTAATGCAAGTCTTATGGAAAGGAGAAGAACACAGCATGTTCCTCCTATTAGTGACTTAGCGCCATACTTCTGCCAGCATCCTAACCTACCACCACCTTATTGGTACAAAACTTTACAGTAAGAACAGCTTCTGAAAATTTTAGCAAAAAACTGAAAACACATGAAAATCAAACCCGCTTAACAATGAAATGCTTCATGTATGATAAAAAGAAAATTCTTAAAATGAATAGAAAAAAATTATATAAAGCTATTGTGCAGCATATAGTATTCAATAGACACAACAAAAACCCAAAATAACATTAGCTAATCAGTGAAAAAAAAATAGCTTAAAAAGTAATTTGAGACTAAAACCCTTATATCTTTTTATTCCCTTCTTCTTCTTTTTTTCTTTTTTTTTTTTCTCTCTCTCTCTCTCTCTCCCTTTAATTTTTCTCCAAGCTTTGTCAAAACCAAGAAATCTAAAGAAAAATTGAGATTTCCTTTTTCTTTTTTAAACCAAAACAACATGAATCATGAAACAAAAAGAATGAATTTTTCTTTCTCTTTTACTTTCACTTTCTAGGGAAACAAACAGGTTATACCCAAAAGCGTTTTAAGTCAAAACTGGCTCCTTATCACAAGAAGAAGAAGCTACATTCTACAATTAATGCAAAGAAAAACGAAACACAAAAGAAAAAAATACGTTTAATTAATGCAACAGTGACACTCAACAATGAGATTTACATTAACATTAATTTTTTTTTTTAAAGCACAACAATACAACCACAAAAAGAGATTTATATTCTTTTTAATCAAGTAATTATACAAAGGCGCTTCAAATTAAAAACCCAGAAAGCAAAATGAAAAATTTCAGTGAAGAAGAATGAAAATCTTTAAAATAAAACAATATTTACAGAAAGTTCGGCTTACCTTATAATTATATATTCTTTGAAAAATATCTTCTGTAACAACAGAGAAAGGGGAACTGAGAAAGGAAAGAAAATGAGCGAGACAAGTGAGTGAGTTAGTGAAGGATAGTTAACGTGCGCCACTCATCTTTGCAAATTGCATATAAATAAATACTCACTCTCCTTCCAACAACAACAACAACAATACCGTATTTTATATTTATTGGGCCTTTATTATATTTTCGTATTTTTATTTGTATTTCTACGCTACTCTTACTGTACGGATACTGTGCTCATTGCATGATTTATATGTAATTATTTTAACATAATTGGTTGATTTTAAAATAAATATATGCATAGATGAATATTATTAGAGGTATTATTAGCTCTAATTATATTATATTAGCTGGTGACAAGTGTATATTGCTTTAAGTATTGTCAAATCAATCTACTATTCAATATGTTTAAATATTATTTAAAGTCTAATGTGCATTTAATACAACTTTAATCTGCCTCTTAGTGTATGAAAGTCTTTGATTAAATATATTATATTTAACTATAGTTAGATTAAATTATATTTAAAAAAAAAATCGTTATTGTTAATCATATTTTGCTCTTACATGACGAAAAGATCCTGATAATAAAAAATAAAATAAAAGATCATTTTTAAGGTTAAACAACCTATTAGTGATATATTATTGGAGTGATTAAAAGAGGTATTGGTTGGTTAGGAGTCCCTAGATGATGAGGAAAAGCTCTAAGTGCTCTTAACAATGAGTTGTACTATGAATAATAATATATATATAATATGATATGACAAAAGATGATTAAATGAAAGTTTATTTTTAATTTAAAATCAGTGAATCATATTGTATATAAAGTATTATGCTTATTTTATATAAGATTTTAATAAAGATTAACTCATAACCTAATTTAATAAACTCTCTCTCACAATTTAAATGTAAAAGCCCGCAATTAATCAGATAAAAAATTTATAAAAAACCAATTATAAACAATTACATCATAACGGTGAAAAAAAGTTCATGGGATTAGACTATAAATATACAATAAAGGTAGGGACACCGAAAAACCTACACCAAAATTTTGTACCAGCCTACGTGTAACACGCCTCTGATTTTTTTAACAATTTTTTTCTAGTGAACGGTCGTCCATCAAATTTGGATGACCGTTCACTCACATGGACGCCCGTCCATAAATAAAATACAATAAAATTTTTTTATAAATATTTGGGACGGCCGTCCATTCACCAGTCCATACTTAAAAAAAAAAAAAAAAAAAAAAAACTCCTCTACTTCTCCACTTTCGCTTCTCTTCTTCTTCTTTTTCTTCTTCTTCTCTGATCATCTAATAACTGCCTACGACTTTTAACTAATCAGACTTTTAAGTAAATGCATACAGATATGCATATGGACCTGTACATCTCCATACTCCATACTGATTAAGGCAAGAATACATTATTATTATTATTATCATCATCATTAGCATTGGAAGCGCTATCTTCCTTGGCCTTCACTTGCGCCTCAGAAACAGAAGCTCTTAAAGCTCTCTCCTTTGTGTTGTTTTCTGAAAGAAGGAGACTTCTGTGGCGAGGAGCTTTTGACCTGGGCACTGGAACCCAAATCTAGCATTAACCTCCCATCCTCTACCTGTACGATGAAGGCTATGAGAAAGGTTCAGGCTTTTGCTCTGTCGCTGAAGAGTTAAAATTTGCAGCCACTCAATTCAGGCGACTTCACAATAGACAGGTTCAACACACCTTCAGGTTCTACTCATAACAGTGGAGACATGGGCCGCATGCTTAATCCAAGCTGCATGGCGCCGTTATTCCAAAAGAAAGAAAATGGAACATTTTCGAAAGGAAGAAGAAGAAGCAGTATCATGTTTAGATTTTTTTTCTTTTTAAGTATGGACGGGACGCCCGTCCAAACGTAATGGACGGCCGTCCATAACAGATGGACGGTTGTCCTAAATGTTTATAAATTTTTTTTTTTCATATTTGGATGAAGGACGGGCGTCCATTATTTGTGGGCGTCCGTCCAAAATTAATGGACAACCGTCCATAATGAATGGACAACCGTCTCTAATATAAAAAAATTCAAACACATATTATACGTAGATCGATATAGAAATTCGGTATAACTTTTTCGATGTCCGTAGTATTATTGATAAATATAATACTTTCTGTCCAAATATTTTGTCATATCACCTCAGTAATATGTAATTATGATTATTCCGTATGACTTGGTATTTTTGTTATTGTCCACGTGGAAGAATGTTGGACACCTGGCCAACAGATGAAATCTTAGCTCATATATAAAAGTAAAATATTTGGCTTAATTTTCAATTAAAAAGAAACGTTAAAGTGGCAAAGGTTGAGCATGGGGTAATTTTTAGATGTTATCTTTTATTAAAAGGATATTTTGATTAGTTAACAAGTGGAGCATCAATTTGCGGAAATTTCACGATAACACCTATCAGATTCTAATTATCTTTCTTTTTTTATGAGTCTTGCTACCAAACTATACCAATAAAGTTTTTTTTTATTTATTATTTCATATTATTTTTAGCATAAGATATATTAAGACCTATGAGACTTACACATAAGATATCTCATATTAATATTATAAATTGATTTGTAAATATCAATCACCTTCCTATTCTTTTCCAAATATAAATACTACCTATAACTTTTCTTCTATATCAATAGTAAAAAAATTGTAGAATCAATTCATACTAACCACTGGTTAATTGTTTTCTTTTATTAGCTTCATTGTTTTTTTTATTAATTTTGTTTCCTTTTTTTTTCGGGTCAACTTACATGCACTTAACTAATCTCTCAAACTTGAAACTATCGACCAAATAGAGTCCTAATGACCCCCTTATTAGTGTTTGGAGAACTCGAATTTTGTAGCTCTTAAAACCTTATTTGCTCTTTTGTCATGGAGCATCCAGTGGTGGTTCCACTTTTTTTTTTTTTTTTTTATCTAATAGTTAATACTCTTTTCTTAAAACACCTATGTAATTTCTCAAGTTTAATTTATTAGCAATATTTATCTTATTTCTGGTGGGACTTAAGTTTTAAGGTTAGAAGTTAGAACAACATTTATTCATGTTATCTTGTATTACACTAATAAATACCCGATATATCCATTAGTATAATACAATATTACTCTTTATCGGGTATGATGTTATTGATTATATAAACTTTTTTTTTGGTATTCTAGTTCTACATTTTTCGTTGTATGAAAAGCAAATCTAAGATATGGGCGCACATAACTTTTGAAAAAGTCCGTCTTAATGAAACCTTTCTACTTCACAAAAAAGAAAGAGAGTTACCGAATCATCAAGTTTTGTAAAAGTTGAAGAGATGGAAGCCATTTACTCAACTAAAACTAGCTTTCTCACCAATAATATTATTTGGCGAGACTTTTTCTCAAACACATCATGTGCCAACTGCATTGCACTTCAAAAAGTAAAGTAACATACCCATTTCCAAGCAATATAACTATATAATACCAACCAATACATTACAATTGAGGGATTTTTTGCCAAAAATTTGGATTTTAAAGTTAGGACTTGAAACATGACACTAGAACATGTATATCATTACTAACACATTTGATAATGTCGAAAATAGGGCTAGGCTTGACAATCTAATCATTTTTAAGTTGTGTCGTTTTCTAAAGTCTATTAATTATGCAATTTATACAAGATTTTAACCATTTACATTGTTTTAACCAATATTTAAAATTTGTGTTAAAATTGTCTAAACTAAATGGCGTCCTTCACATGTATAAACAAAATCACAAACATGGAATGTAAACTAACTATCATAGAGTGTCTAGTGGTAAAAGATAAAAAGGATTTCATGAGTTTTTGAGTTCAAGTCCCTTAGACCCTATAGGGATGACTATTAAGGACTTACTTGGCTGTTAATTTTGAACTTCGAAAGATTAATTGAAGTGTGCGTAAGCTGACCCAGACACCTCGATTAAAAAAAAAAAAAAAAAAATGTTTTAAACCTTTTGCAGCCTGATAACATGGAATTCCTAATATTATCCCGGAAATCCGACCCGCGAATCCTATATATGATATATATATGGGCCAGCAATCCAGCCCAAAACCTATTGGGCTTAATGTGTGGGTTTAAGCCCAAACATAATTTCCGACCTCTCCTAAACCCTAATCCCACCAGAATTCTCTCACTCTCCCTTCGCTTAGCAACTCCCACTCTCCTGCAGCCATGGGTAACCTCTAAGCTTCAGTCAATCTAACTTCTCACCTCTCTCTTTAGAATGTACCGGTGTCGTTTCATAATTGATTATTTATTTGTTTTTATTAATATAAATTTTTTTCTTTTTCGTGGCAGTGTCGACCGTGAATGATCGTGCATCGGGTTCTAAAGTAAAAACATGCGTTCTCGGACCGGGTAACTATCCGACAATACTGACCCGACCTGACGGTGGCGCTGGTCTGCGGGACAGCGTGTTCGGTCGGAGGATGGGTGAAAACGGGCCGTGAACGGGCAAAGGGTCGTTTGCATTTTTGGAGGTGAATGACGTTCATGTCCGGCGAATTTACAAGTTATCGTGGACGCTTCTGTAGCGGATTTGGGCCAGTTGGTGCCAACTGGCATTGTGTGTCTGTTGAGGGTTTGCTTAAAAACCCGCCTGAGGGAACCAAGCAGAAGATCGAGCTTCGGGTCGAGAAGGTGATTGATGTGGGCACGTTGACCCCGCTAAGTACCCATTCCTAAGACTAAGCTCACGCTCGAGTTCTTGAGGGATCGCATTCTTTTCCGACCCAGGACTAATACGGTATCTTCTCACTTTCTTTTATGCCGTTTGACTTCATAAATTTTGGTTGATCAATTTATGCATTGAACTGTAAATTTTGTAAAACTTTTAATTATAATTGAAACTTATTAGATTAATATAACATGTTAGAA